GCCCGAAACGTCAGCCTTCCTGCTCCTATGATGCTACTTGGCCTGCTATGTTCATCCAGCTCTACACCTTGTTATCTCTTATAGCAAGTTTGATACTAGTTTGAATTCTGCAGTAAACTGGAGACAGACTGTCACATTGGTCAATCAGTGATTGGTCACAAAATCAACTCAGTTCAAAAGCAGCAAATTTAGTCATTGGAATATTTGCTTGTTTTCATGTATTGTAAGGTAATGAAAGAGTCAAGACAGGTAAAACTTTGGACACTTGACACTATAATGTACACTCCCTGGAGCCTAATGCCATTCTTGTGCCAAAGTGAATTCTCAATGGAATTCATTGTGTTGGTGAGAAAAGGATGGGAAGTTACCCATTGAATGCCAGGGGGGGGATTAGAATTGATGTATCATTGATGAGGAAAAACACAGGGATAATCATAGTTGATGCAGCACTAATCAAGGACAGTCAGCACGGGGTTAATCAAGGACAGGCAGCATGGGGTTAATCAAGGACAGGCAGCATGGGGTTAATCAGGGACAGTGAGCATGGGGTTAATCAGGGACAATCAAGAGGGGTTCAATCAGCATGGAGCTAATCAGGGACTTTCAGCACAGGGTTAATCAGGGATAGTCAGCATGGAGTAAATCAGAGACAGTCAGGTTGAGATTAAACAGAAACAGTCAGCGGGGGGTTAATTGGGGACAGTCAGGGTTGGGGCAAATCAGGGGACTGTCAGCACAGGGCTAATCTGGGACAGGCAGCACAAGGTTAATCAGGAACATGCCTTACTGGGTTAATCAGGAACCATCAGCACTGAGTTAATCAGGGACAGTCAGCACAGGGTTAATTTGGGACAGTCAGGGTGAGGGTAATCAGAGACAGTCAGCATGGGATTAATCAGGGACAGGCAGCACAGAGTTAATCAGGGACTAGCAGCCCGGGGTTAATCAGGAACACGCCTTAGTGGGTTAATCAGGGACATGCCTTATTGGGTTAATCAGGAACAGTCAGTACAGGGTTAATCAGGGACAATCAGCATGGAGTTAATCAGGGACTGGCAGCCCGGGATTAATCAGGGACTGGCCTTACTGGATAGCCTGTCCTTGACTTCACTCCGTCTGCCCTTTCCCCAAATCGATGAACTTTCTAATTTTCTTACTTTGTAGGAAGCCAGTGCTCCAGGTGCGGAACCCTGCTTCACCACCATCACCATGAACAACCTGGCACAGTGGCAGGAGCCAGAGGACGAGTTGCCTGATGACTGCCTGGAGGGCAAGGACTGTCGCTCCTTCTTCTGCTGTATCGAGGATTGCCAGACTGGCACGTGGCGCAGGGGTCGCATCCGCATCCACATCTCCAGGCTGGATGCCTACTCGCGGGTCTTCTTCCCCACTGCCTTTCTACTCTTCAATCTCATTTACTGGATCTCATACCTCTACCTGTGACTCAGTCATTCGCAGTAAATGAATCCAACAATAAATGATCTTCCCCCGAACACTTGACTCCAGTGTTTTATTACAGCTTCTCCCTCAGGAAGTTGGGAAAGTGAATGAAGGAGGGCAAAATAGATTAATATATGCTGTCATCTTAAGTGAAGACCAATAGAATGTAGCCTAGTATGAATGCTGGCATTCACCAGTTGGACTGAATGGCCTATTTCCGTTCTGAATGCTCCCTAGAATTAGAATAGAATTAAGTTTTATTGTCATGTGTATTCAAGGCGTAGAGGGTACAGTGAAAAGTGCATAATGGCGCCGTTCCCGGCACTATTTTAGGTACAAAATCTTAGGTACAAAAAATGAAAAAGCAAGAAATAAGTTAAAAAGTTCAACATTACAGCTCTTCTTAGTATAAAGTAGAAAAATAACTAAATAAAGTTAAATGTTAAACATTACAGTTCTTCTTAAGCCATGGCCTGCACACACCATGCTTGGCTTTCCACATGAGGGCTCGCTCTCACCCACGCTGGGTGCACTTAGCTGGACATGGGCACTAGTGCCCCCACCCATTGCCTTACTTCTCCTAAGTGATGATGGTCAATGACTGGTATAGGGTTACACAGCATTATCGCCACATACTATTTTGCACTTTACCAGGTGCCCCATTCAAGGGCAGCTGGGGATCGCTGACTAACAATCAGCAAATCTTGATCTATTTCCCCTCAGTAGCAACATTATTCGACTTCCCCTACCACCTAAGCTTAAGAAGCTAAAGGAGTTCTGAGGTGCCATTATATTGAAAACATTTCCGATGAAGGAGTGGAGATATCCTCACAGGACTGTGGGTGGAGAATGGATAGCTGTTCATCAAATTATGGCACCACCCAGATACCACATTATGAGTGGCACATTTAATTTCTACAGCAGGCTATATAGGAATGCAGAAAATACAGGCATCAATAATTAGGTATTTTACATGGCCAGGAATTCAAAAGACATAGTGCATTTCTCATGTAATCAGAACAACACCTTTAATACTTGTAGCAGTTTTTTAAAGAACCATTCAGTCTAGTTTTAATGAATTGAGCAGAACCGATACCAAAAATGAAGGTAGTACATCAGTGTATCCTACAATTATGGATATGGCAACCTGATTCCCAGATTTTTTTTTCCTCTAAAGATGATTACAGTTTGGATAGTAATGTAGAAGTCCTTTTTTTTCTCATGATGGATTACCAATTGAGGTACAGTCTGATCAGCATTCTAAATTTATATCCAAAGTTTACCAGGATATCAGCACAAGTTTTGATCTAAAATAATTGATGTTAACCATATATCATCTGTAAAAAAAATGGAGCTTTGGAGAGATGCCATTAGTCTCTCAAAAACATGATGAAGACATATAGTCACAAATACCCACATGCGTAGAACACTACACGAGATTTCTTTCTGTTTGCTGCTAGAGATTCCTCAAATGAATCCATTGGATTTCATTCCATTTGAATTGATTTATGGTAATGAGATTAGAGATCCCTTAAAATTGATTAAGGAAAAGTTCTTCAGACAAAATGACAAAACAGTAATGTTAGATTATGTGTCCATGAATCTGTTCATATTCATAACATTCAACAGTAGAATAGTTGAAGTGGCAAACGATATTGATGCCTTTACAAGGTGAACCTCTGAAAGTGAAATTCGGTAATCCACACAAATTAGTTGGAAGGGTTAGTAAAGTAACTAAGCTGATAGATCATACAAAGAAAATTGATTATATTGCATAAACATGTTGAAACAACATCATTGCACAGAAAAAGACAAAGGGGAGTAAGTGTGTCAGGTAAGAAGACTAATGGAGGATGTCAGACACAACAAGAGTCAGGTAGAAGGATTGGGAAGAGACAAAAAACCTGCAGATGCTGGAATCCAAGGTCCTGAAATCCTGAAGAAGGGTCATACCCGAAACATTGACTGTTCCTTTCCTCCAGATGCTGCCTGGCTTGCTGTGTTCTTCCAGATTCCTGTTTGTCTATCTAAGAAGGATTGGAAACAATTCTCAAAGAAAACCACCTGTAATTTAGCTAATGCAGGAATACTGGGAGAGTTAGATAATGTGTTCCCATATTTAGAGGAGTGACAAAGAGAGGTGTTAGTCAGACTACATAAGAAGTTTAAGGAAATATGAAGAGATGCAACTCATCCCTCACACCCCATCCCCGCAATAACAACCAAAAAAGAATCCCCCTCGTCCTCATATACCACCCCACCAACCTCCGGATCCAACGCATCATCCTCCGACACTTCCACCATCTGCAATCCGACCCCATCACCAAAGACATTTTTCCCTCCCCACCCTTATCTGCTTTCTGGAGGGACCACTCTCTCCGTGACTCCCTTGTCCGCTCCACACTCCCCTCCAGCCCCACCACACTCAGCACTTTTCCCTGCAACCACAGGAAGTGCTACACCTGCCCCCACACCTCCTCCCTCACCCCCATCCCAGGCCCCAAGAAGACTTTCCACATCAAGCAGATGTTCACCTGCACATCTGCTAATGTGGTATACTGCATCCGCTGTACCTGTTGTGGCCTCCTCTACATCGGGGAAACCAAGCGGAGGCTTGGGGACCGCTTTGCAGAACACCTATGCTCAGTTCGCACTAAACAACTGCACCTCCCAGTCGCGAACCATTTCAACTCCCCCTCCCATTCCTCAGACGACATGTCCATCCTGGGCCTCCTGCAGTGCCACAATGATGCCACCCGAAGGTTGCAGGAACAGCAACTCATATTCTGCTTGGGAACCCTGCAGCCCAATGGTATCAATGTGGATTTCACAAGCTTCAAAATCTCCCCTCCCCCTACCGCATCCCAAAACCAGCCCAGCTCGTCCCCGCCTCCCTAACCTGTTCTTCCTCCCACCTATCCCCTCCTCCCACCTCAAGCCGCACCCCCATCTCCTACCGACCAACCTCATCCCGCCGCCTTGACCTGTCCGTCCTCCCTGGACTGACGTGTCTCCTCCCTACATCCCCACCTACACTCACCTTTACTGGGTCCATCCCTGCATCTTTGACCTGTCTGTTTCCTCTCCACCTATGTTCTCCTCTATCCATCTTCTATCCGCCTCCCCCTTTCTCCCTATTTATTTCAGAATCCCCTTCCCCTCCCCCATTTCTGAAGAAGGGTCTAGGCCCGAAACGTCAGCCTTCCTGCTCCTATGATGCTGCTTGGCCTGCTGTGTTCATCCAGCTCAACACCTTGTTATCTCACAATATTCCAAAGTTGGTCTGACCAGAGCCTTATACAGCTTCAGCAGCCCATCTCTGTTCTGTATTCTAGCCCTCTTGAAATCAATGCTAACATTGCAATTGCCTTCCCAGTTGCCAACTGAACCTGCATATCAACCTTAAGAGAATCTTGAACTAAGGCTCTCAAGTCCCTTTGTCCTTCAGATTTCCAAAGCCTTTCCTTAATTTAGAAAATAGTCTATGCCTCCATTCTTACTACCAAAGACCACAACCTCACACTTTCACACATTGTATTTCATCTGCCACTTCTTTGCCCACTCTCCTAGCCTGTCCAAGTCCTTCTGCAGCCTCCCTGCTTCCTCAACACTATCTGCCCCTCCAACTATCTTTGTGTCATCTGGAAACTTAGCAACAATGTTCACAGTTCTTTTTTTCCAGATTGTTAACATACAACATGAATAGTTGTGGTCTGAATACTGTCCCCTATGGAACTCCACTCGTCACCAACTGCCATCCAGAAAAAGACCCTTTATCCCCACTCTCTTCCTTCTGCCAGTTAGCCAATCCTCAATCCATGCCAGTACCTCATCCCTAAACGTCTTTGTCTCTTGTTTTATTTCGGAGCCTCACATGCAACATCTTGTCAAAGGCCTTCTGGAAATCCAAGTAGATAACATCCACTGGCTTTCCTTTGTCTAACTTGTTGTTACCTCCTTAAAGGATTCTAACAGATTTATCAGGCATGACCTCCCCTTGATGGAGCCATGCTGACACAACTCTATTTTACCCTGCACTTCCAAGTACAGCGCAATCTCATCCACAAAAATAGTATATAAAATGTTACCAATAATCAAGGTCAGGCTAACCGGCTTATATTATCCTCTTTTCTGCCTCCCTCCCTTCTTAAACTGAGATGTTACATTAGCCATCTTCCAGATGTCTGGGACTCTCCCTGACTCCTGAAAGTGTTTCCTGAAAGATCGCCATAAACATCTCTACAATCTACTCAGCTATCTCCTTCAGAACTTTGGGATGTGGTCCATCTGGTCTGGGTGATTTATCGATCTTTAAGCTTCCAGCTTCCCCAGCATCTTCTCCTTAATGATGCCCACATACTCCTTCGAAGTTCTAGTGTGCTGTTGGTGTCTTCCACTGTGAAAACTGATTCAAAGTATCTATTCCATTCCTCTGCCATTTCCTCTGCCATTTCTTTGTTTCCCATTACTACTTCACCAGCCTCATTTTGCAGTTGTCCAATTTCTACACTAGCTTCAACATCCATGACCCTCCCTTCCTCCTTCCCTACAAAAAACTGCCACAGTCTTCTTTTATATTTCTAGCTAGCTTACCTTCATATTTCATCTTCTCCACCCTTGTTGTTTTTTCAGTTATCATGCACTGGTTCCTAAAGGCTTCCCAATCCTCTGGCTTCCCACAAATCTTCACCAATTTCAATGCTTTTCTTTTGCTTTTATGCTGTCCTTGACTTCCTTTGTCAGTCATGGTTGCTTCATCTTCCTCTTATTGTGCTTCTTCGGAGATGTCCAGGTAAATTTGAGGTTGGGGTGAAAGGTGTTAGTAAAGTTGATGAACTGTTCAAGCTCCTCGTGGAGCACAAGGCAGCACAGGTACAGTCATTGATGTAGTGGAGGAAGAGGTGGACGATAGTCCCATGTAGCAGTGGAAGAGGGAAGAGGGTAATACATGATATACAACATGACAATGCAGAAATTTTCTGTTTCTAAATAAAAACCATTTG